TCAGATGCGAGAATATTGTCAAGAAAAATGCAAAACAAAATCAAGACAAGAACTCAGAGGGGCAGGATGGTATAACTGTACATGTTTTTTATTATTTACAATTATTAGAAAGATTTAAAGTAGATAAAATAATTCATGGTTTTGAACGTTTTAAGGCTGAGTTTAAAATGGAACTCTGTGCAAATAATGAACATGTAACTACTAAAATGTACCATCTTTTATTGAAATTTGAAATGGAAGAAGAACAAGTGAAACATTGCATGATAAAGTGAACTTAATATTTTGGTTATAATATACAGATGTACAAAGGGGAAATATGTGGTTGAAAGGAAATTTACATTTATGTTATAATATTAAAGATATTTTTTTATAAAATGCTGTATGATTTGTATTTGTAACATGAGATATTATCTAGAATGTAGAAAACAACAACTTCAAACTGGAATTATGAACAACAAGAAGGGATGATTATCGCTTGTGGTGGACATGTAATAAAGCGAGAAAATTCTAAATTCAAGAACATGCTGTAATTCAGAGGATCTGAATATACAATTGAAAGCAATGATTTTCCTTTTGGAATTGATGGACAAATAGTTCCAAAAAAAGTCATAGAACTTTGTTTTTGTACATGACAACCTGGCGTGCACAAAGATGAAAAGATTCAGCATTACCAACAATGGAGGAATGGCTGGTGAAAATTGATTTCTTTGATCAAAGAAAAGACTGTAACTATATGTATTGCTGACTGGAAACCCCTTATGGATGTTTTGCATGAAACAGAAAAAAATGATCTTATGATTTATAATGATTAAACTTAATATATTATAGAAAGCAGAGAGGTATCTTGTACCCATCAAGTAAGTTATAATTGTAGCAATAACAGCTGCACAGAACATTGGAAACTTTACAGATTTTTTCTTTCTTTCTTTCCTTTTTTGGACTTCTCTTTGATTTCTCTTTCTTTTCCTTTTTCTTACTTCATATTAGCTTGGGTAATTTTTAAAAACATTTAACAAAAATATATATTAAAAATGTAAAACATAAAAAAAACAGGGAGCCCAAGCTAAAAAAAAAAAAAACAGCCACAATAATATCATATACTATAACAGTAAGTGTAAAAAAAAACAAAAAACAATGAGGGCCTCATAACCACATTTACTGAAGTGTCTGAAACAGAGCTAGATTTGTAAGCCTTTCAGAGTTGTTTCAGAGTATGGATGCTACTCATGCTGTTCCAGAAGTGGGATGGACATAGATAGAATATTTATTTGGTCCTCCAAAATGACAAGAGAGAGGATCAGGAGTTTGAATATATTAAGTCAGCAGGAACAATTGTGATAGGCATGAAGGGTTTTACAAGTAATGACCAACATCTTGAATTGTACTCAGAAAGTGTCTGCCAGCCAATGCAGGTTACATAATGGTGTTGCTGACACATGGGATAATGAAAGGTACCTCTAAATGCTAACACTGTGCCATTTATATTGTAATTTTTATGTTATTGTTTTATTGTGCTTTTTCAACTATTTGTAAACACTGGTATTTTGGGGTGGGTGGGGGAGGTATTGAACTTATTAAATTCAGAACATAGATATAACAGAAAGTATGTGGCTATACTCACTGCAATACTGAATCAAAAGTGAACTAATTCAAATCTGATAACCCAGAATGCCTTTGATATTTTTTTTGTACTGAGATTTTTTGCTATGCTTTGATTTAGTATTATTTTATTCATTCACCTATTTAAATTAATTATAGATGTCATTTCCATTTAATGTGGGCAATTATATTGTGTGCCTTTTATTTTGTACGTAGTTGAAAATCAGTCCACTAGTTTTTGATACTTTCCAAGAAATTAAGATTGAAATTATAACCATTAAGTAATAATTTAACATTTTTACTAATTCATAGCACTTCCTGGCATGAGGGTATCTGACATGTTGTAAACTGATTGGAATCCAGAGAGATATGTACAACTTAATGTGTTCAAGATGACTTGTAGGCAGAAAGATGAAAAACCTGTGGCCATCACTTGGTAGACACAAAGTAGCTGCCATAATTTCTTCTAACAAAGAAGTAATTGGTATTTGGAGGTTTGGAGGTTATTTTGTCAATTTATATCACTTTATAAATGGATGCTTGTTTTTGCATGGTCTATTTATTTGTAATAAAGTTAACTATGGCATTTTCTATAAATACATTATGCTCAAAGCAGTTTCCAAAAAAATGTATAATCTCAGTAAAATGACACATTTAGTTCACACAGATGAATCTATTTTCATAGTAATCAGTTATAATTTCTTCAAAATTATGACCCAGAGTTAATTTTTAAAAACTAATATTATTAATAATTATTAGAAAGAAGAAATATAAGTAGTCCTCGACTTAAACCTTTGTCAGGACCTGAATTTTGATTGCAAGTCATTGGGGTCATAACTCAGAGCATCAGTAACCTGAATCAATTCTACAATGACAGTAGTTAAGCAAAACACATGGTTGTATGTGCAAACCCAGTTTATCCAATGGACATTTTTTGCCATTTTTTCGCCAAAAAACCCCCTGCAAAAAATGTCAGCACCTGTGATCATGTGACCATGAGATATGATGCAACTGATCATAAATGCAAACCAGTTGCAAAGTGCCCAAAATGTGATCATGTGACCTCGGGGGGTGCAGCAATCATTCCTTCAAGGTTCAGTTATAAGTAACTTTTTTCTAAATCCATTGTAATTTCAAATGGCTGTAAGCAATCAGTTGTAAGTCACAGACTATCTGTATAAATATACAAAATGTACATGAACTTAGATCCTCCTGTTCAATATATATTAATGTTGCCTATGTCAAGGCTTACAGTTTTGGTGTGATAATGACAAATGTGTGGGCCTTTTCTTCAGCAGTGTGAATAACCACTGTTGGATGACCACTGCTCTGAATTATGCAATAATTCTTAAAAGTTTGTCAACTCTTTTGTATTTTCAATATTTCTGCATAAATGTGACATAAAATGTGATCTGTTCTCTACACAAGTCCTAAAAATTGATACAAATAACCCAATTAAATGAGTAAAAAGCATTGCACCTGTTCATTTATTTATTGAGGAAAATGATCCAACACTGTCTACAGGTGACATTTTATATCATAGTTACACAGAAATATTGAAAATTAATTTTACCAGCTAGTAAAGAATTATTTCCTGTAATAGAAACTGATATACTATCAATCTTTTGGAACAATTCTGAACAATTCAGAATTCCGCTGAATCTTCAAACAATCCTTCAGATATTTGAAGATAACTATCATAGTTTTGTCTTCTCCAAATTAAACACACTGTAACTAATACATTATCTCCAACTGTAATCCTTGCTGGCTTCCTATCATCTTGGTTACACTTTTATGATTATGTTGCAGTTTCTCAGTGTTCTTTATAACACAATGCCCAGAACTAGATACAATATTCTGAGTGTTGTCTGCAGAATAGAGACAATCTTGACACTATAATTCTATTAATACAGCTAAGATTGTATTTGCTCTTCTGTAGCTGCATCACTTAGAGGATTTGTGTTCAACTCATATACAATATCTAGATTCTTTACACATGCACTTCCCAGTCTGCTCCTATCTATACTCATGTCTTAGCTTTTTCCTACCCAAACGTTTGTGTTTGCATTTTTATCTATTAAACTTAATGTTACTGGTTTCTGCCCATTGTTCCAGCTTATCAACATATTTCTGAATCTTGCTGTCTCCTCAAATTATAGCAATAGCAATAGCATATAGACTTATATATTTACTCCACAGTGCTTTACAGCCCTTTCTGAGTGGTTTACAATGTCAGCATATTGCCCAAGCAATCTGGGTCCTCATTTTACGGACATCAGAAGGATGGCAAGTTGAGTCAACCTTGAGCTGGTCAGGATCAAACTCCTGGCAGTGGGCAGAATTAGCCTGCAATACTGCATTCTACTGCACCTCCATGGCTTCTGATGATTAGTATTTTACAGGCTTGTTTTATAAACAAATGATTATTTTATTCTCACTTTTGTGACCAAAGCAAATTCATATAGAAACCAACAACTCATAACTCTTACAATGCTTAAAATCTTAATAAGAAAACTGAATATTAAGAAGGATAACTGTTGCAGGACTTTATGGTGTAGAAAAAGTGTTTTGTTTCCATTATTCCAATAGATAGGTCTTAAAATTTACATTGTAAAATCCTTCCCATATTCAGTTGAAATTGATTCATGTTCTGTCTACCTAAGTGTTGTATTGTCAGAAAATATACATTAAAACAAAAAGCCTGAGCTCTGTGCAAGAGCAGATGACACTTAAAACTAATAGCATAAATTGGCTGGATCTCCTTTTCTAATTAGTCTATTCTCCTGGTTCCTTGTCTTTAAACAAAGACTAAAGGTCAGACTAAAACCTGTATGTTGATTAATGGCTGATTCCCTCTGTCAGTGAATTTTAAAATAAACAGATACTGAAGGTATCATCTAACACAAATCATCCATTCTATTTATACTGTATACATATCTACTATGTGTCTATCTTGGTAATTAACAACAGAAATATTAAATCAAAGTCAAATCTCCAAATATCACTGAAAACCTAAGCCTCTCTCATCATTTTATTTTTATTTTTAAATGACAATGTTTTAGCACCTGTGTGGTTTGTGTGGTTTATATTATCCTGTGCAATGGTTCAAAATATGGTCCAACAAATGCCATAGAACAAAACCTGTACCACGTACAGATTATATTAAGTTCAAGCAGTGCTTTAACAAATCAAAATTTACAGTAAAGTACACAATCAACATATTGCTGGATATTTTAGCCATGGTATTTGGAACCAATGTTATGTGCATTTAAATGGAAACCTAGACACGAAAACTTCTTCCAAGTGTTCTCCATTTGTATACTGTACATTTTTGCATTCCTATTTGTTTTGGTTTAATGTTCTTTTATTTAATATTAATGCTTTCTACCAATTAATTACAGATGATCACTCCAGGGTGAGACTGCAGTTACTAGATGGAGATCCTCATTCAGATTACATTAATGCAAATTATATTGATGTAAGTGTTGTAAGAAAATATTTTTTTCACAGAGAGGTGTTTGTTTGTGAAAGCAAATTCTCTTTGGGTGTGATCTAACTTAGTACGCTGCATTAGGTTTAAATAACTATATTTTGACAGAAGACCGTAGCAGTACACTAGCCAATACCTTTATGAATATCTACTCCACTAAATTTTCCTAGAAGTAATTAGAGCGTCATGGTAAATTTAAATGGAGCTAGATCCAATTGCAGGTTTAATTGAGGCCTTTGCCAAACAAGGGGATGTAAATTACTAAATCACACTCTTCCCCTAAGATAGAATCCACGGTTTTAAGAATCAGATACATTTCTTCAAATTGAATTTTGTAAAGCAAACAAACACAAACCAACAACAAATAGAGGAAGAATGTATAATATTTGGATCGAAATTTGCATCCCCAAACCAATACAAATTAATGACTTACTAATCAATTGACTAATTGAATAAGAATGGCTCATGCTGGGCTTGCATTTTCTGTTTTTGACTATCTTTATTTGAATAGGATTGAATATATGTTTTATATTGTTTTGTGAGCATGGGAAAGTGACTTGTTCCGTGTCAGATTATTTGCTCATCTTTCCGAAGTAAACAAGTTCATTACTTGTTTAATACCATCTATACTAACTAGCAATCCCCCTCCACAATCTTAGAAATATTTTGTTTAGTTTAACATTGAAGAAGAACATTGTGAGATCAGTGGAACTTACTACTAGGTAAACATGGAAATAATGTAATGCCTTCAAATGCCAATGTCTAAATTCTTTGAATTTTGACAAAATAATATATTGAAGGGGTTGTTGTAGTTTTTCTTCTTTCCGTGATCTCAACCACCCCATGTTGTTAGAAAATTAGAAGTGTAATCATGTCGATCATTGTGATTGATGATTGTTGAAAAAAGATCAGGAACTTAAAATGCAGAGTTTATTGTAAATCTATATATAAATTATCCTGAAGAGATTTTGTGAAATTAAAGAACAGAAAGAAGTATAAAGTTAACAAATTAAATAGCAATAACATGAAGACTTATATATGGCTTCAGAGTGCTTTATAGCCCTCCCTAAATGGTTTACAGAGTCAGCATATCACTCCCAACAATTTGGGTCATCATTTTACCCACCTCAGAAGGATGGAAGGCTGAGTCAACTTTGAGCCTGGTGAGATTTGAACTGCCAAATTACAGTCAGCCAGCAGTCAGCAGAAATAGCCTGCAGTACTGCACTCTAACCACCGTGCCATCGTGACTCATAATGTTTTCATCTGACTAATAAAAAACTGAATTTTGAAGCAAATTAAGTCTGTAACGTCTAGCGAAGTATTACACATCCTCTTTTCTCATGTAAATCTCTATAAATATCAATTAAATCACAATGTTTTTAAAATATCCTCCAATTAAGAAAAGGAAAACATGTACAAATGTATACCCTACATGATTCCCTTTTAAAATAAACCCACATTCAAGTTAATGACCTCTTCTGGTTTGACAAGAAACAGATGTGTGTGCCACAGATGAGGGGACACAAATTTTTCCAAATGTGTTTTGTTAGAAGATAAGCTAAAGCCTAAAGTGAATATGGTTTAAGCAGGCAATATGAAAGTAAGGTCTAGTTTTTATTTTCTAGTCATAAATCTATTTTCTTATTAATACATAAATGGTTTCAGAATTTTTAGAACTATCAGGAAATCTGAGACAGTTCCATAAATAATTCATGTTAATATGCTTCTTTTTCATTCAGAGTAGTTTTATATAGCTAAGTTTTTGGGACTTTTTGTATCTCAGTTCAGATATGATCTTTAGAGGTCTGCAGTGGTCATCTTGAGACAGCCTTATTTGTTTTCCAGCTGTACAATACAGTCTCGACATTTTATCTGTCTCTTTGTCTGTCCCAAGCATCCAGATACTCAATCTCCATCACTATCCTTCTTCTATTTCATAATCTGATTGTAATAATTGAATAATTGAGGAATTTTCTGCCTCTGTCCTGGGGTTAAGGAGAAATGCAATGTTCATGTTCCTTTTCCTACTCCAGATGCCTCAAAGACAACATTAATTTTGTGATTTTAAGCAAAAATTTAACAACTCAAATGCATATCTGAATTGTGCTTGAAATTGAAATTCAAGGGTTTCCCTTCCTTGTCTTCTTCTTAGGGATACCATCGACCTCACCATTACATTGCAACTCAAGGTAAGTACTATAGAATCAGAGTGTGGTCCGAATGACAAGATGCGATGGTATGTATGTATGTATGGATGGATGGATGGATGGATGGATGCCTAAAAGGTGGTAGTGGCATTAATCTGGAAGATAAATCATTGTAGGTGCTTTAGGGCAAAGTACAGTAGAGATGTATTTTGTTTGTTATTCATCCTTGCCATTTTAACATAGATTCACTTAAAAGTTCTTTTTCAAATTAATTATGATTTCTTTAATAACAGTATGAATTCTTGCATTTTTTATTTTTGGACATGTTATCTTAGAATATGTTTTTAAAGATGCAAAATAAGAGTTTAATTCTGTTTTGACATAAGCATTGTGTTTAGGACAATTTAATTCACACCTATTTTTTTATGCATAATAATTGAAATTTCACATGTTTTACACTTGGTTTCGTAGGAATCATATTGCAATCAGTAAGATTCCTTTGTAATTAATTAAATGTGTGTTCCATCCTTTAATTTTATTTTTTTCCCAAAAGACATTTTTACACGTTTTCAATACAGTTTTTTTTAAAAAGGAAATGAAAAACACAATCAGAAAAATGAAAAGCAGAACCTAGCACCCAATTCTCAAAGGCAATGAAAAGATTTCTGTTAAAAGTCACACATTCATTTGGTAATTAAAATGTGACCCAGGAGTATTATCACCTAACATCTCACCCTATAATTGAGGGTGCATTTAGAATTCTTGGTGCCATTTATACATCATAAGTTTTCTTACCAGACCTAGCACTGTCACCCAGCATAAATTAATATTCTATATTTGTCTGATGTGTTACTCCAAAGTGACCTTCAATTATGAGTATTTATATCTGTTTGTGGTACTAACTGAAAGTTTAGCACAATATTTTAAATCCTAGGTACTTGTATGATTCAACTAATGTATTGCTCTTCAAACCTCACCTAAGAAAATGAGCAGGCACACTTAGGAGATATTGTTTCCATAGTAGAAGGGTGGTTGGGAGACAGACAAGTAAATTGAAATGTTTGTGTTAAAGTAATCTTTGGAAGATCTCTTTTGTTTTACTTATTCTGCCTTCAGGGCCAATGCAAGAGACAGTGAAAGATTTTTGGAGGATGATTTGGCAGGAGAATTCAGCAAGTGTTGTCATGGTCACCAACCTGGTAGAAGTTGGCAGGGTAAGATGTTAATTTCCAAAGTTATCAGTCATATATTGTGGTTCATATCATTCTTACATTTGCTCAGTTTGAAGGCTTCTATACCCCACTGACACACTAATTGGCATTATATTCAAAATCTATTTCAAATTTGCATTTAAATACAGATTTTAAAATACATTTTGGTGTTGTCACAATAATATGGATTTCTGAATAAATTTTCTAACTGCATTTCTAAACCTACAAAACATGCTTTCAAATAAATGTTTGAGCTAAGAACTCAGAATTTAATGAAGTCTGAACCATAATTACATTTTAATCTGCACATTAGATGAAAATCAGAATAAGTTCATATCGCATTGCACACAGATCAAACTTTTCAAGCAATCTTACCTTGCAGCAATGTATGATATCACTTCCGATTTGTATTACTCTGATTTCTCAAATTTTAAAGCATGTGAACAAATACAATGCTTGCCCTCTGATATGGTATAAAAGACATCTCATGAGGAGGAGAGGAAAGGAGAGAAGAGGATTGTCATTTTTTTTTTTACTGTGAGCACACTGGCCCACATTAAAAATGAAATTCTGTTGCCTGCTCTCAAGAGAAAGTACATATCTACCCAAACACACACATAATACACATATACACATGCCATATACATAAATAAATATATACCTGCACCATATACATATGTATTAATCACTGTCCATTTTGAATATGTAGTAGAGGAAACTTTAGAGTTCACAAGTTTAATGCTATATGGAACAAAACTGTGACTGAATCTGGATGTTTTGCTTCGGATACCATGAAGGCTCCTCCAGAAGGTAACAAGGAAAATAGATTGTGAAGAGGATATGTAAGTGACCCAGACAATCCTGTGGACTCTGTTCAAGCATCACTTATATGCCATGTCCTATATAGAAGGAAGTGAATTACCAATCATCTTTTCTGCCATCCTCATCACTCTCTGTGCCACCTTCTGTCTGGAGCAGTAATGTTTCCAAACCCGACATTCCTGCAATATAACAGGATGCTCTTGATCATCCTTCTATAGAAAGTGGTCAAGACAGGGAAAGGAAGATGAACTTTTCTCACGAGATGCCGAAAATGCAGATGCTGCAGTCCCGCTTCACCAGTGTCTCACTGTTGAGTGACCAAGCTATCCTACTCATTAAATGCACACCCAGAAATGTGATGCTGCTAACCACCCCCACAAGTGAATCATTAATACGTAGAGTTGTGTGGATGTACCTGCCTTTTCTGAAATCAACAATGATAAAAATTATACAGTCAGCAAAGGAGTGAGTTAAAACTGTAAACTCTTTATTTTTTAATCTATATATTGAATATATATAAAGGGAGGCTAATTTCAAAAAGATGAATGTGGCTTTCAAACTGGAGCAAAACCTAAATTATTCTGATAGCTAAAAAACAATCTGCAGTTTCTAGTAATAAAAGACATAGAAGGGGGACTACGATTAAATATAAAGATCAACCTAATAACAGTACCACAGCCAGCTTTAGAATTGGCAATGAAGACATTGAAGTGATAGACACCTTCTCTTTTTAAAAGATAAATTATTAATAGGAACAGAAGTCAAGCAACCAAAAGTAAAGAAACATGCTGCAGCCTTGTGCTTGGTAGGGTAAGAATAAAAGCCATTGAAGAAATATTCACATTCTATAATGTGTCTATACTTCTAAAAATCAGAACCATGCAGGCAATGGTTTCCATATCACACTCTATGGATGTCAAAGTTCGACTTTGAAGAAGAATACAAAAATTGATGTTTTATGAACTATGGCATTGAGGAAGGTTCTTGAGAATACCATAGGAAGCCAGGAAAACAAAAAAATGAATCACAGAACAAATCAACTTAGAGTTTTCATTTGAGGCACAAATGGCCAAGTTCAAATGGCCATATTTTGGACAGACTATGCAAAGGAAAAAGAAGACAATGACCAGGATCAAAGTGGATGAATTTGATTACTGCAGTGATGGAAATACCATTATGAGAATCTATCCAGATCATTTTGAAGAAGGGTGAATATATAATAAGAGTTGACACTGATTGGGTGGCACATAATGTATCAACAGAAAAAGGCTCTTTACCTAACTAGAGCTTATAATAGTAGCAATTTTGCACAATTATCTAAAGTTAGTTGTGCATTTTTCCCATCACCTTCTTTCTTTTTCACTCAACTTTCCTTACGTCATCTTCCCTCCCCCCCACACACACATTGATTGAACTTTATTGTGTTCAGAATTCAGTTCTGACAAGTTTAGACTGGATTCTTTTGTCTTTCCTAATTCTGCCTACAGTAAAATAAGAATTAACTATTTAGTGAATGAACAATATTTTATGCTATCATTTTCCCAACTTTAATGTAAATCATCATTTTATCATGACAAATATTGTTAGGATAGCAAGTTTGGCTATTTGCAAATTGATAGACAAAAACTACAGCAATTATAATAGAATTTGTTCATATATCACTATTCATATAGGTATAATTATGTTTCCATATAAGTACATTACTAGTCTAATTCAAAGTGAAGTACTGCAAATTATGGCTGAAAACGTTTTTCATAAACAAATGGGTTTCAAATGTAAACACTTATACCAAAACAAATAAATCACATCACTACTTATTGTTCTGGGTTCTTTTAGGGTTACTAATAATTGATGCAGACAACCATGTACATGAGAGGTCCTATGCAGTGTCCTTCTGATTCTTCTACAGGAATATACATTTTAGGCCCATATCTGGACTTAGGAAACAATGTCTTACAGCTCAACGTCATGCATTAATTTTCATTTTGGTGACTTTCCCCTCCATAGGTGAAGTGTGTCAGATACTGGCCTGATGACACAGAAGTCTACGGAGATATCAAAGTGACCTTAATTGAGACAGAACCATTGGCAGAATATGTCATACGTACTTTTACAGTCCAAAAAGTAAGAATACATTGGTTCTACCTTTCTCATCAACTAATTTGTTTTCCAGGAAATCCATTTATTTCCATGTTTCATTAGGGAATATGATAGTCAGTATGAAAATCATCACTATACATTATATGCTTTAGTATATATGGTAAATCAAACAGAGACACAGAGGACAAAAAACATGGCTATGCATTATCCCCCAAATCAGAGAAAATGATATACAGAAAAGCAACTTTCATGCATAGCTTAACAATTTCCCACAGACTAAGGGAATTCATGCCAGTGATAAGTAGAATTGTAATTGGAATCGTAGAACTGAATGAGACTGCCTAAGCCATGAAATCCAAATTTCTATTCAATATTTCCTTGATCTTTTCTAGCAAAGACAAACCCATCATCCCTTAGAGTTACGTTGATTGCTCTCATTATTACAGCAAAGTGACTGTAATAGCAATAGCACCTAGACTTAAACTCTTATCATTGTCCTACATTATTTTTTTCTTAAGAAAAAGGATGAAACTTTGGAGGAATACTATAAGGAAGATAATTATGATCCTTCATACCATAAATGTAGAAATTGGTAGAATGTTGCTATATAGAATAAACAGAATACTAGCTTTCTCTCTCTGCTTTCAGATAAGATGTTATTTCTTTGCCACACAGCAGAAAAGAAATACCAAAATCTTATTTGAAAGCACTTTGAATTGTTTCCAGGAAGGCTTTCATTACATTATTATTTGTATCAAACATTATATTGCTAATTATTGGATTATGTACGTGTAGCGCTTATCCTCAAAAAGGCTGCTGGAGTTTGGGTTCTTCTGGCCCTTTCGTATGGCTGCCAGTCCAAACTAGTTCCTCTCTGATGCCCCTATACTTGCCAGGGTCACGTGATGGGGTGGTGGTCAGCCTCCTCTCAACAGGCAAGTCACAGATGGGGTGGTAGTCAGGTGACTAGTTGGAGCTTCTTCCTCTTTCTCTATCTTCACTCTCTATTCAACTGTCTGACGGGCTCTTCTTCCACAGCCTCTGCTCCTTCGTTGTTTCCTCTGCTTTCCTTCAGGTTTGCCTCACAGAAGCCTCTGCTATCCTACACTCTTCTCTCCCTCATTCTTGGCCCCATAGAAGCCACTGCTGTAGTATTCCCTTTTTCCCCCTCAGCCTTGGCTCACCCTCCTCTCACCTCCTCTCCCTCTCTCTTCCCTCCCAGGCAAGTTCCTCCATCCTCTCCTTGCCCTTCTCCTGCCTCCTCTCCTTCCTCCCAAACTCTCTATTTATTCCCCCCCCTGCTATATATGTAAGTGCATTTTTAAATAATAACTACTTGTTTCTGAATGTCATTCTTTAGCAGAATGGCAGATTAAAAAAGCATACATATATAATATATGTTTTGCATACATAAATGTTTCCTACTTTTAAATATTTTTTTTCAAAAGTAGTCATAATCAGAATAATACATTTTTGAAATACTAAAACAGGCTAAAACTATATTACTATAATTTGTATGATCATAGCATTTTCAGAATAGTTATTTGGTATGCTTCTCTTGTTCTTAATTTGTATTTCAGCCTTATTGTGTATATTTTCTAAATAAAGAAAATATAGAAGGTAGCTTAATTATGTAACACTTATACTTTGGAGGTAATTGGAATACTTCTACTTTATTTTAAAAAAATTAGTTTGCTACTGCTTACTGCCAAGATATTTATCATCATATACTGGATGTGAATTTGCCAGCTTTAACAAAGCAAAGTTATGATTGCTTACTAGTACCCAGCTGTTCAAGGAATGATAGGGGATAACTGCACAGCATTTTCTTGAATTTATGAATCTTGAAATTTATTTATTTTTATTAGAATCATCCAAATTGTACATATACACGTGTACAAACATGTATATGTACCCCCAGAGAAATCCACACATACATTAGCACACCTTTTCACTTTTCACTTTCAGAAACACACACACACACACACACACACGAAATACTTGAAGATGCAAGTAGAGTTGAAGGAAAGATCAATTATTTCCCCCCCACAATTTTTCTTCAAAATTGTTTGATTGTTTTAGGTGTCCCAGGAATAAGATAATAGAAAAAAATGTGGTTTTTTTTTTTAAATTGTAACATTCTAAGTAAAGTGACATTTTATATTTAGATTGATTTCCTGTTGGGTAAATCTAGTCTCAACCTAAATAAGAAACAACTTATAATTAAGCAATAGTAATTGTAATGAAAGAGAATAGATGATTTTTAAAAAATTATTATATATCCTTTTCAGAAAGGCTACCATGAGATTCGAGAAATTCGTCAATTCCACTTCACTAGCTGGCCAGACCATGGGGTTCCTTGTTATGCTACAGGTCTCTTGGGCTTTGTTCGACAAGTGAAGTTTCTCAATCCACCAGATGCAGGACCTATTGTTGTGCACTGCAGGTACAAACTTTGTTTCCATCTGTCATTTCTTTTCATCCATTTTCTCCATTGCTGCTTATTTCCTTAGCTTACTAGTCATTCCACTGTCCTAGATAGAATGAATGTTGCATTATCCAAAATCTTATCATACAACAAATCTTCTGCAAATGTCTACAGAGATTCTCCGTCATCCAGGTCATGGTTGTTCCAATGATGCTTTTTGGACTTTTTTTTTTCTTTGAAAACATTCCACTTCAGAGCTGAAAAAGCTTCTTGGATGGGAAGTGGAACATCTTAAAAAAAAAAAAAACAGAAAGTCCAGTTGCCTCTTGAAAAAGCACTTTGGGGACAGACCAAAAGTCTGCATTTATTTTTCACATTAGATCCACTGCTGATCAATCTCTGTTTCAAATATATATATAGTTTGTCCCAAGCAAATAGAATAATTGTTTCATGATTCTATTGTGATTATAAGTATACATTTTTAGCAGATGCATAACCTTTGACTCCTATGTAGAAGACTAGATTGGGTATTGCTCAGTATCTTCCTGAGTATGGTGCTAAAACTACTGTATTTCAAGTGAGTTCTCAGCATTATTAGCATTCATTTCTCAATGCAATCTGATGTTCAAATGTAAATCTGATAGAAGCATTTTCTATTGTAACATAGTTTTAAAGCATATTTCATATGCTTCATATTTCTGAAGATGCTTCTTCTTAATTTTAAATGACCCACATGTACCTAACCTTTTATTTCTTAAGTGTTGAAATAACAATATCTAATATTGTAATGATGACAAAAATTTCCCTGAAGTTTTACAGTCACTCAATAGTGAGATGGGTGGCATATAAGTTTAATAAATAAATAAGATGTTTCCTGGGGTAGTTGGGACAACCAGGTTAGGGTTGCAAAAATTCAGAATGTCATCTATTGGTCATCTGATTATTTTCATCTCAAAACTTTATGGATAGTATGGGTCAATACTGAAAAATATATTTAAGTATGCTAATTTTATATTTATTACAATTCTGAATAGCAGAAAAGTGAATTAAAGAGAATGAAATGCCATATATTCATTAAGATGATACCAATTATTCCTTCCTAGCTCTAGTTCAATCTGGCCGATAATAGCTCATACTCTAGTCACATCCCATGGACTTTGCAGTATTTTGTTTAGCTGCATTTTCATCACACCCAGGAAAGGACATTGTATGTTCTTTCCTGTTTGCAAAATGATATTTCACAGTGGGAGAAAGGAGACAGGGAAGATGATTTGCATTTAGAAGCAAATCATTTTTTTTCCTGTCCAACCTGAACAACTGTGCATGGCAGAAATAGAATGTGAAATTATTTTCCGGTGAGACTCGCTGGCTGCCATTGTGAGTCAATCGGGGGTGAAAGTTTTGGTAGAAGCAGTGGAAATACCTAGTGTTGTGCAATTTTAGAAGATTGATTTTCTGTGGTACTGACTGCTGACCTTAACTTGGAAAACTTTCAGCAGTCAGCAACTATTTATATGCACAGCAATGACTAAATTCCCCCTTAACTAGTAAGGACAGGAATTCTCATGCCATCAATTGTTCCATATCAGCAGCCAATGGCTAAGTTTGTATTCTGCTTCATTAAATCTTAAATAAGCCAGTTTTTAGAAATGGCCAAAGAGTTAATTTGGTTTTTATTCATGTAATAATTTATTGTCACCCTGAGTTATTTTTAGGAATACAAAAATTTAAAGAAAAATATATATGCAGAATTCATATTTTTCCCCACTGAGAATAAAACTATACCATTAGTAACTTTGCAATAGTGACCATTTGTATTCCTTTGGATTGTGAGGTTTTAAATTAACCAGCACAACGCCCCCCCCCCGCCCCGTATTTAAATTCAAATAGGCTTCAAATGAAAGCATTTCATTTAAATGTGATTTTAGTATATTTAAAGCTGATTGTGTGAACAAAATGTATTTGTGGAATATATGGTATCTAAATAAATAAACTTGAATTACAAAATTAGGACTTCAGGGGAAAAGTTATAGCTCAGCCTTTTTCTTTACATATTCTTTTTATGTGTGCAGAAAAGTCTTTTCTTTTCCCTTCTTTTTTAACTGCTATCTCAACATGTGCAAATTGGATTCTCCTCAAATTGGAACAGTACTTCTGCAGGACATACATTCCTGAAAGATTACAACACTCAGAACTCCAAATAACCTGGACATTTTTACAGACATTTTAACATCTAGATTTTCAAATTAGTGAAAAGTTGGCATTTTAAGATCAGACTTTATTTCCTCCCCCCCCCCAAAAAAAAAGATGCCTAATCATCAAGGGCCAAAGTGCAGAAGGAAATATGCAGATTTTTATAGACATACCACTTCTGAAATAAACAAGAAACTTGCTTACAAGAAAGAAAGTGAAAAGATGACTGTTTCAAATAATGTAGCTCATCTCTCTTTCATCAGGTTTCATTTAAAACAAAGGCAAGAGCTGAGCTTCATTTTTTAAAAATTTTACGTCTTCTTTCTCTCAGTAGCTTTTTTACTTCCTTTTTTTCTTAAATTTGCAGCTTTGCAAAGGGAAGCTGAAATAGGCAATAAAGCTCAGATCTTTGTAGCAAAGAGGGACTAAAGGGAAAAAAATACAGCTGCATTTGCACCATATATTCTCACTGCAAACACCCTCACTGTTACGTTTTTCCATGGTTCATTGATGAGATCCTTGTTCTGGTTTCCATTTCTCTTTCAGCGCTGGTGCTGGGAGGACAGGGTGCTTTGTTGCCATAGACATCATGCTTGACATGGCAGAAAACGAAGGCGTGGTGGATATATTTAATTGTGTGAGAGAGTTGCGATCTCAGAGAGTTAACCTGGTGCAGACAGAGGTATCCTTTTTTTGGTTCTCTTAATTTTCATTCATTTTCAATGAATGTTAATTGAATAAAATAGAATAAAAGATAAACTTGTGAAAATATATGTTATTTCAAAATATTTTCAGCACACTAGCTTAATTTTAATAAACTATGTTAGCTTAATTTAGTAACATTGCATTCCATGATGTAAAATACTTCTAAGCTCAATTATTGCTTAAAGATAGATAGATATATACATACATACATACATACATACATACATACATACATACATACATACATACATACATACATACATACCAATGGTGGTTTCCGGATCCCGGTGCAACAGGTACGGTGCAACGGGGCTGGGCATCCACCACGTGGATGCGTGTAGCATGCACATGTGTACTTACCACCCGTGATGCTCTAGCTGCTCGGCAGAGAGTTGCGCAGGAGTCATACACTCCATGCGCATGCACAAAAGCCCCAATCGGCTCAAATACAGGTAAGGAGGGCAGGTCGGCAGGTAGGCCCTTTGGAGCACCATACCGGAATGGTAGCTGGTGCTCCCAGCAGGCACCGGTATGCCCGTACCGGTCGTATCCCACCACTGATACATACATACCATTATTTTTTGCTAAAATTCTTACATAAACGGAAGTACCATTGTAGAAAAGTCATCTTTTCCAAATGCCACTTTTAAAAATATATGATTCATACAAAAATGAAGCCTATGTTCACCACCAGATTCAAACAGCATGCTTTATAATAATGGCCAACATTATATTCCTAGTCTATTTTTCATTGAAATAGTTAACCCGTATCAGTTTTCATGAACTGAAATATAATCAGCACTATAAGCGCTTTCCTAGATTTGTCTAACTGCCTAAGATTCAAGTAAATTCTATAACACAGTGCATTTTGAGGTAATTTTATAAGACTCAGGGGTTGAAGTCTTTAGAATCAAGGTTAGAATTTTAAATTATGTTGATTCTTTCTACTTGTGAAGCTGGCAAAATCTTTTTGGAGTTGGGCAGCCTAGAAATTCAATCAATCAACCAGTCAATAAATAAATAAAGACAGCTTATGATCTTCTAGTACAAGTTCATTCAGATATATTTATTGATCAGGGAACTGTGATTGTGTTCATTCTCCTTCTGGCAAATGATTGATTATATTAACGAGTAAAATAAGTCAGTCTGCTTAACAAACAATAAAACTAGACAGAGCATTTCATGGTTAGAATAGTTCATGTAATCAAATTCTGTCTTCATTTAAAATATTGAGGATTTAGACCTAGCAATTTATTCAACCATGTACACAGTATCAAATGGCATGAAGGTAGATGGCATATGCTCCCTCTGGAATTAATTTGTCCAGAGAGTAGCGGGGGGGGGGTCCTTCTTGTACATCCAATGGTAAACTGTAAGCACTTCACACATTGTACACTTTTGTTGGATCAAGAAAGTGTTAAAGAAATAAAACCTTTGGAACTTAAAAAAAGAAAGTGTTTTCTTTTCTTGTTGACTTGAAGTTCTTGGAAGTTTCATTAAAGTAAAAGACATTACAATGCTTCTGAAGGCCCCCATGATGATGATCAATTAACTTTTTTGATATGTAGGAACAGTATGTGTTTGTTCATGATGCCATACTGGAAGCGTGCCTTTGTGGCAACACTGCCATTCCTGTTTGTGAGTTCAGATCTATATACTACAACATCAGCAGATTGGATCCACAGACAAATTCCAGCCAGATAAAAGATGAATTCCAGGTAAGGTAATGGATAAATAATGTTCCTTATGTATCCTCAGTCACAGAAAATTATGGCTAATGTGTCTATGTTAAAGTAGATTTTATAAAGATTACAAGAGGTTTTAAGGATTATTCAGGATTTTCTCAAGGAAGAAGTGAACTCTATAAACTCCAAAATCCTTTTCGGGTTAAAGTTCATCCAGCAAAGACCAGTGTAGACTTTTCCCATTTATATGAAATTGACAAAGACATCAAAGAAATTGACAAGGGGTCCAAAATGCCTTTCATAGTCTGCATCAGAAAAAAAAAAAAAAAACTCAGGATCCTCTTGGCTCCAAGAATGTTTGTGGACAAGAGTCAACCTTCCTCCACGAATTTTTCTTGGAATATTCTATTTATCTCTTCTGTATACGAAGGTATCAATACAATCATGTCCACATGAAAGTGTCCAATTGTGCTTGAAAACAACTTGGAAGCTACTGCTGGTTAAGAGTGCAGTGGCACGGGCAATTATAGACTGCACTATATGCCCATTTTCCTGCTGTTTTGCAAGCTGCACTGATTACCAATTGCTTCTAAATGCAAATTAAGTTATTGGTTGTTACCATTAAAGCCCTAGATCCTGATTACTTGAGGGACTGTCTTCCTCCATCTATTTTCACAGCCCAGGTTATCTAGAATGGGCATCGTCAGGTTCCAATTAATGTACCCATCACAAATCAAACTCCAAGACATTCCGCATCCTCAAAGAACAAATTTATTTAGATACATCATCTTGGCACTAACTGGTGGAAAGCCAATACTAAAGGTTCCTGCACTTTCCACCCCACTTAAAGTAAAGGTTTCTCGTTTTTCTAAAACAATATGCTACACTGTCCAATTGGGATAAGGGCTGGTTGCTTGATGACTTCTCTCCTCCTTCTTTGGCGAACCAGCCATTGGAATGTATCTGACTCATCTTAACTCATCTTAAATATGTTGTTTTGACTGAAGACTCCATCTACCTCTGCTCTCTCCCTTCAGCTCCAAACTGTGTGAACCTGAATTCATGTGAGAATAACCCATTATAGAAACAAATTCCCCATCAGAAAGGAACCAGCCACTGCCTAGACAGCTTGACAGACACATTCCAGTTTCCATCAATTAAGCAGTTTCATCTTATAGGACCTAGAAAGAATGGTGATACCTCTCACTGATGGGCCCTCATCAGTAGAATGCTACCTTCCCAGAGATTCATACTTCTCTCACTTTCTTGACTTTCTACAAATTGCTTAAGACCTGATTGTCCTGTTAGGTTGATTATTGGGGGCTTTGCACTTGGGATGATCAGTCAGCTGTCTTCCCCCCCCCCTTTTTTTCTTTCTTTATCTGTACGTTTCCTGAGGTGCTATAGAGTCAGGCAGTCTCAAAATTAATCATATAAATAATGTAATAAGCAGGGATTTGATAAGAAGAGATTTCATAGATAGATGCAAATGTACAAGTAAGCCTTTCATTTCATTTCCTATCTCTCCAGAAAATGATTACAAAATGCCTGGCTAGGAAAGCTTATGTCTAGAAGCATGTGATCTTTGTCAAATAATTGACATACACAATTATCCAGTTCACATTGTTTGGAAAAAGAGAGAAGCCAAAGGAAATAGGTCAGGGTATTTCCAAGTTAATTTTGGGTGAGCCTTAAGTGTCTCATCCATCTTTACACATAAGATATATGATTTTAAATCCTGAAAAAGAAATGAGAGATAAGAAACTAAATTTGAGATGAAACTTTCTAGACACAAGACTAAAATTGCAAAACTCAATCATGAAAATATAGGTAGGAAACGTGACTGCTTCCAAATATGCATGTTTCCATCATTATTACAAAAATTGCAAACCATACTTAGATGTCAGAGTTATACTCCTAAAAGGTGTTTAGCTGAGAATGTTATAGATTAACCATTGAGATTAGTTATTTCTTGATTTTTAGTTCTAGTCTGTCTTAAGTGTTTGCTTTGATCAATGTTCTGAGCTATGCTCATATTGCTTTACTTTCATATTGCATTATTGAAAAGTTACAATTCTATGACTCAGAAAAAATATGATTAAAAGCCCCCACCTGCTCCATATTTATACTTGTCAAGCTCCATGCCAAGGTTTGATGGTAAATCACAGCTTTTCCCCATGCTTAACATAACAATTGATTGCCTACTGCAATAAAAAATAAGTTAGAGCCAATAGATATGTACTGTATATGCACACAGCTCGCCTCAGAACTTATTCTTTTCTCTCCTGTAAGCGAAAAGGGTCAGTCTTTTTATGGCTTTGAGGCTAAAAGTTATTTAAGTAATGATCATTTCTAGCCTAGGAATCACTGGTTCCCAGCTTGCAATACCTTTTGGTATGCTGTCCTTCACTTCCATTAGTCTGCAGGTGTCAGGTGTTTCTCCCTAGTCTTCCTCCTAATTGTGGACAGGTGGAAGAAATAATGTCTTTCCTTATCTCTTTGACTGAAGCAAATAATATTTCCTGCCTTTCATGCTTCTCTGCGCCTTTGTTCTTCTATCACTGGACAGTAGGAAGGAATTAAGAATTGGAGAAAACAAAAATGGGGAAATCCCCGTGAGAAGCTTAGTGTAATCAGAACAGACATTTATTAGGTATCATATTTTATACTTTTAAGGAGATGGACCCAACACTACAAAGCTTCCATTGATGGCCAAAACCTCTTGTTAAAATCATTGTAGTTATTTTTGGCAGGAAGAAGTTGCCTGGAAGCAAATTCCCAGTGAAGTTGTCCTCAAATTTTGGATCAGATAGTAGAAGCTCCCAGATGGAAATCAAAATAATCAACCAATACAATTAGGTGATAGTGGATCTGTACAAGGGAATATGGGCTACACTGTGAATGTTGCTTGAGTTTAAGAAAGCCTTATTGGACATTGAAATCTCTTGACAAAAAATAAGAATGTTGCCTTTCTGTAAGTTCTCACTATAAAATCATTAGGCAAGCTAGCTATGCATTTGATTGATAGTGGTGAGAATTTATATTCAAGAAATAAGATTGAGTATGTAACGGTTCTGTTAATGACTATATTTGGCCGGTAAAATTTGCTGAAGGAAAATGAATGTAGATGGTTGAGCCCCTGTAGCTGTAAGTCTTCAATACAATTGCATACAAGGGAGTGCCTTAGTGGGGATTTACTGTGTGAAGTAACCAGGTCCTCCACAAAAAAGACATTGGTCTTTTGTGCAAGAACCTAACCTGTTTTTGGCAAATAGTGAGTTGTTTATTCCGAGATGCATTGGTTCAGCTTCTAAAATCTCACAAGTATAATGAGAAGTCAAGGGAACAGAACAGTGGTTTCTTTCCTGACTATTCTGCAGCATTGAATCACATCTTCAACTGATGCCCAAGCAAATTAAATGCTGTCATATTCTCTGCAGTGCATTGACAAATGGGTTTGTCTTACATTTCTTTTGACGGTCCCTCCCTGAATTGGTCAGTTAAGCATTCCAGCCCACATGCTGAACTAACAACTGAAACTCAGCAGCATATTCTTGCACTGAATGCTTATTTTTTTCAAGTGATGGATTTCATAGTCAGCAGGAATTTGTTTGAGTGAATTTTCAACGTTAAAACTTGATCATGCTATTAAATTAGTAGTAAAGTTGTCCAAGTCTAGAATCTTCAAAATCAGAAGGGAGGGCATTCCTTCACAGTTATTTGTCTAATCATTATAGGAGGATAAGTATGTTAATCTCACCAAATATCAGCAAGAATCTATTAGCACTTATTCAGAATAACACATTTTCTTAAAAAGCATAAGCCTTCATGAATTGTAACTCATCTGATTCATAGAACATGCAAGATGGATTACAACTGGCACTTGTAATGTATTTTTTTAAAAGAGTTTATTAATACTTTTTGAAATACCTTGAAAATTTTTTGATGTATGTGGGTGGTGCAGTCTCTCCCTCTATAGTGCTGATAAAGTTTTGTTGTTCCAAAACCGCTACCTTGAGATCTATAATCAAGTTTCTTGGGAAATTAAAATGCTCCAATATGACTTTGTCCTTGTTTTAACTCCTGATATTAAACATGTCTATTAATTGTTTTGCACACATTCTTGCCTGGTTGTCCAGTGTGAAATAAGAGGCGATTGCTGACATAGAACAACATTTATCTAATTGAAGGAAGCACATGTGGCATAAATGTGCCTCCAATTTTGATTGCCAAGCTGTTCGGGCATATAATGACACTGTTGGTGTAAATGTGGGACATCTGGTTTGTTGCAAGGCATGATTCCCCTTGGTTAGCATCATTGTTTGTTGTTGGTGAGAATCTGTTTCAGGCTGTATCAATATAAATAAGTTTGGATAAACCACCCAGTGCCTAAGAAAGTAGTCACCACAGCTAGAATCCCAAAGAACAAATTAATACCAAATGTCAGATGGTATATGATAAAGCTTTCTAAATAGAAATAATATTAGTAGAAACAATACACTTAGAAAGGGGAGCTCGGATGCACCAATGGCAGGAAAGGCTACTCATAATCACTTGTGTCTGTACTTAGGGACCTTTAGTGCATGTATTTATAGACCTGAACACTCCCCTCCGATCTGGTATTAATAAATGGTGCCAGAATGATTAATCACCAAGTGGGTATTTCAGCATTCATATCAGTAAAAAGTCTGTGGGAACAAGCATTATTTCTTGCTCCCTAAACTGAATGTGGGAAATTGATCAATGGGAAATGGAAAGCCAGTTATGTGGCTAGCAAGACCAGAGGGTTAACTGCCTTGTTAGTTAGAGCAGTCAGGTCAATTGCATTGTTAGCACAAGGGCAGTTATGCTGTTAGAGTCTTGAAAGGATAAGAAGGGAAAGCAGCAAGCTCATTGTCCCTGCTTCACAGTGTACAGAATGGCTTTCTTTGGAGAAAAGAAGAAAGTGGCAAGGACAAGCTAGGTTGACCAAGGCAAAAATTTTGCATTGATCACCTATATAGAAAAATTTTATATCACAAAGAAATATCACTGGGCTATAGCTTATTAATATATTTTAGTGACTAACAGCTGGCTAAATTCTTTGTGAATTTGATTGATAGGAAAGCTATCTGGTCTCAGGGACATAGCGTTCACATTGTATGAGCAAGACAATAAATTGGATCCCCATTGTGCAAGAAAGCTCCATCAGCTCCAGCAATGACTGCAAAGAGTTGTAATGTGTAGATATCACCACCAGCCATGAAAGATTCTGGGACACACTCTTGCCTAATTGGGACTACACGTGGTCCTTTATTTTGTTCCGCTTGATTGTGATCAGTTGGGGTTCGGGGAGGGAGAGTGTTTCTGAGACTGGATTAAGCATAGGTGATTTGGAGCTTTGAAGAATAGTTAGTAAATTTGTTAGAGGGTCAGTAACCCCAATTCAATTCTTAGTTTTGTTTTTTGTCTGTTGTTTTTTTAACACAACCTCTCTTCCTGTTGAGTAGGGGCAGGCTTAGTGGCTTGGCTTTATACCTGGTCTCAGCACTACATTACAAATGTTCACATTCTAAATTTCCTATTCAGTCTTGATAAAATACTCTCAAGGTACTAATGCAGCATTTAGATTGAGTGTACTTTTACAATCTATTGAAGTTCTGTAACAATATAACGCCACTTGTGGCAGGTTAACAAAATATACTATCATCAAATTGTTTGGCTTTGTTTATGTTATCACATTAATTATTTGGACAATTAATAATGAATTTTTAGAAAGATTTGACTTTTTCTAAATAGTTTCAAAATGAGTTCAGCAGAAGTCACCCATCGCTAAGCTCAAACCATCTGGAGATCTGTAAGTCTTCTGAATTACTCAGTCTATCACCATTTTAAACATATCTTTCATTAACAATCTTCATTGTGACTCATGTTCTATTTTTGTAATGTACATACCATATTTGTGTACATACTGTGCTTTTAAAACACACGGTTTGGCATAGATTTGACTGTTTCTATGTAGGAACTGTCTAAAATGTTTAGATGCTGGTTCCTTAAAGAATTCTTGTGCACATTAAGTGAATGGCCACAAAGATTAACAGGAAGAGACTTACAGCAGGACTAATAGGCCCAGGTTTGTTTATAGTTTATAGCTAACAGAACAATTTAGGACTGCAGGCATGGTGAATGTTGATTTATCGGATTAGTGAGAAGGAAATATTGCCAAATCATTAAGAGGCCAACAATCTATCCATTTGCATGATGTAGCTTACCATGCGCATCTTGGCAAAGGAAAGATCATTATAAGGGATTTAAGGTTGTGCATTTTGCCAGATTGCTGCCTGATGGGGCTCCATCAAAAGGATTTAATGGTATGTATTCTAGCATAAAAGCTTTTAAGAGCAGGGAGGGAATGTAAATCTAGCTATAACATGCATCAAATCTTGCTGAGATCATAGATTTAAATATCACATGTTTTGTCAAGATGAAGTTTCTGGTTTCTTTCTGGTTTCAACATTTAGAATCCCCATTTCTCTAGATAAAAGAGTAAATGAATGCTACTCAATATAGTGCTAGACTGATAAATCTCTTGATATGTGGGGGACATTAATCCATTAATGGCTGTATAATTTCATAGATGAAAGATTATATGACAGGTTAAGAATTATTGAAGGAACCAAATGCACTCATTTTTCAGCTGAAACAGATACAGACTGTCAGTTGTATTTAACTACTGACTTATAAAGATGCTGTGGCCACATCTTTTTCTCCCATGGTGCCATGAAATTGCCTTCATCTTCTCTCCAGCCAATGGTTATAAAGGCTTAAGTTGTACTTAACTGTACCCATAAAAGAAGTATTCCCCCCGAAACACAGCTGCAAGATGTAAAAAAAATGGATCTTTCTCTGCTCAGAGTTTGGATTTAGCTGGACACATATTAGACATTTCAGGCTGATACAGGCTCTTCTTTAATTCCCAGACTCCTACCACAATTACTACTCTGATTTTTGACATTGCAGAAGCCTAGGAAGTAGATCTCCCTCTTCCGCAAAGTGGTGGAAGGTTTTGATTTTTAATTCATGTGATTTTACTTGATGTGCAGAAACAGCAATGGGAGCTTCCACTGCTTCTGCAAGACTGATGTGGGGCTGCTGCTATATAAAGTGGACTTGTGCAATTTTACAACAGTGTCAAATCCATGCTCAGTTGCCATATTTTAATATATTTGCACATAGATTGTGTGTGAGCAATGGGTGGAAACTAAATCAGTAAGAGAAGCAACCTAGAACTAAGGAGAAATTTCCTGACAGAACAATTTATTAGTGGAACAACTTGCCTCCGAAAGATGTAAATACTCCAACACTGGAAAAATGGCCCATGGGTAACCCGGAAGTTTGGGAATTGTGACTTCTGGTTTGCCTGTAGTGCTGTTTTTCATGTTCCGGAGCCTTCAGGAGGCTTCCCTGAAGGCTCCTGAGGGCAAAAAATGGCCCTATGGGGAAACTGGAAGTCACCATTCCCAAACTTCCAAGTTGCCCATAGGGCCATTTTTCATGCTTTGGAGGCTTCAGGGAGCCTCTTGAAGGTTCCAGAGCATGAAAAACACCCCAACACGCAAACCAGAAGTCCATCCCCGAACTTCCGGTTTGCATGTTGGGCTTTTTTTCGCCCTTTGGAGGCTTCTGAGAAGGCATCTTTTTCAGCTGGTGAAAAATGGCCAAAAAAGAAGGCTGAAATCAGCTGACCAGCAATGCCTGGCATCCCCTAACAAATGTCTCCACATGCCACCTGTGGCATGCGTACCATAGGTTCGCCATCACAGGTATATGGTTTCTTGCCTAAGCAGGGGGTTGGATTAGAAGACTTCCAAGGTACCTTCCAACTCTTTTATTCTATTCTATTGATTTTGTGAACCTGTGCTTTTCTCAGGTCCCTTCTTTATCAAAGAAAAGGCTCGGGAGTTCCTAGTCATCAGAAACTATACATCATCAGTGTTAGTGGATATAGGTTTTGTTTCCTGTTTGTATACAGTATGTTGCCCTGCCAATGTTGGTGGGAGTGTGGTTTTTCTCCTTGATAGTTCCTTAATTAGAGTATTGTTTTCTGCCTGGCTATTTGTTTGATGCTAATCCCTGCTTATCTAGATGTAGGATGCTGGAGATGCTGTTCTTTTTATGTCCTTCTTAACTTTTTTTAGTACTTCTTTTAAATCCTATTGTCTACTAGGCTAAACATGTGCAATAATCAGGAAAGGATTTTTCATATGCAAAAAAGCAGGAGGAGGAGGAATTCAGAATTCAGAAAAAGAGAAAGAATGGTCACCCAAAAAACTTTTCCCATGGCTAACTTCCATGCATATAAGAAATAGCATGGGAGATCTTGACTTCAAATCTTTCATATCACATAACATTCTTAATTCTTCTAGCCCCTACCCAGGTTAGGGAGAGTGATTAATGCTTGCTTTTTCCCCCTGATAGATGGTGACATTTGGGGGGAGTAGAAACAAAGCAAATCACTTTTCTTAACTTGTCATGTAATAAATCTATAAAGTAGTACAACTCCCTGGCCTTGTTACTAAGGCAGAAAAGGGCATAATTTCTGCCACCTGAAGATTGGAGGTAAGAATTTTATCATGGCCAGGAGAAAGAATTCTTAGATGGTCAACAGTGATAGTGCTATAGTGCTATATACTAGATGCAATTTTCTTGACCATATTATTCAATTTTTTTACAACTTGAATTGTCTTTAAACAGTCTGCAAAGAAAATTATTCAAACATCTGTATTTTATAGTTCCATTTTTGATTATTGAAACCATCACCCACTAGGAAAGTTCTGGATTCTACCCCCCCTTCTTCTTGTATACTTGTATGACGGATTTTGTAAATTCGCATTTTGAAAGGATTTAAGAATTTAATCTACCTATTATGGAAAAGAATGCAGTATTTATTTTTTCATATTTAAACCCATATATTCTCAGAAAAGATGGCCTGATGCAATATACAACTTTAAGTGGTAATAACAATAGCAATAGCACTTAAATACTGCTTCACAGTGTTTCACCATCCTCTCTAAGCAGTTCACAGAGTCAGTATATTGCCCCCAACAATTTTACCGATCTCATAAGATGGGAAACTGAGTCAACCTTGAGCCATTCAGGATCAAACTTCTGACAGTTGGCAGAGTTAGCTTGCAATACTGCATTCTAACCAGTGTGCCACAGCTCAGCAATAATAAAACTATTATTTAACACAAACAAAAAAATAACAATAAAACCTTATGTCACATTGTTTAAACAACCATTGATACTTGACAACATGTATAATTCAGGAAGGAAGTGCAAGCTTATAAAAATACGTTTGTAAACTATGTTTAAAGTGGTCAGAGAGGGTAAAGATTGTAATGGGGACAAAATACATTGTACTGTGGCTCCAGAGCTACTTGACTCCTTCTTGGGCAGCCTTTTCAGTAGACACTTGGTGAGTAGATAAGATGAGTAGGACATAAAGTCACATCTTTAGCAAGTTTAATATTAATCGGTCCCTGGTTTTACTCCAAATACAGACCCTTAATATTGTTACTCCTCGAGTACGTCCAGAAGATTGCAGCATTGGACTTTTGCCAAGGAATCATGATAAGAATCGCTGCATGGATGTACTTCCTTTGGATCGGTGCCTCCCTTTTCTTATTTCCGTTGATGGAGAATCAAGCAACTATATTAATGCTGCACTCATGGATGTGAGTAAAGCTCTTTTTTTTTAATGTGAAACAGAATAAATTGTCTTTCTATCATATTGGTATCCCCACTTTCTCCAAAAACCTGAAAAAGGTATAAATACATTGCATCTCATTTTTATCCTGTTTGATCAGTCGGGCTTAAAAAGAGTGATTGCCATATGTGGAAGGAAATTTGAGATCAGAATTACAAAATCAAATGTATGTAAGAATTATCAAGCATTTTTCAAAGTGAAAATTTAGAAATTGGGCAAGGATTGACTTTATAACTGAACAGATATTAACAAATGAATGCAAATGAAAATAATCCTTCTATCAATTTTAGCTGAAAGTGACTTGTTTCAGTATGATATTCTTTTCATCCTATAAATCAAGGGTCGGCCACTTGGGGCTATGGATCCGTATGTGGCTCTTTCATCCATCTGCTGTGGCTCCCTGTCGCCGGTTGACCCCACAATTGATAGGGCTTTTGGTTAGGACAGATAGAGGAAAAAAGTTGCTGCACTAAGAGGAGATTCTATGGTAGGGGAATGGGACTTCCAGTCAGCACCAGAATTGAATGGGGGAATTCCGGTTAGGACCTTTGTGGCTCTTTGTTTGTTAAGGTTGCCGACCCCTGCTATAAATGAATCACTTTTAAGAACAGGATATAGGAAGTATATCTCCCATATGTTAATTACAAAATGACACAACTTAAGGGGTGGGGAATGCCCTTGATATATTTCCTTGTATAATATATATTTGCTCTAGATTCAGTGTCTGTATTCAGCTGTTTGGTTTACAATTATTATAAATCTTTGAATCTGACTTTGAAAGAAATAAATCCAAAATGCAATCCTTTATTTTTCCTTCTTTCTCTTCTTTGTTATTCAACATATACTTAGTTACACTCAGTTACAATTACAAGTGAGCACCTTTGCTATAAAATCTACGGTTTGCATGTTTCACAATTTAAATAAATAAATACCTTCAGCTGCAATATGTAATCTTGTCAGAGTGACTCACAGGCATTGTGATAGCAAGTATGCATCTGTTATCTAACAGTTGAGTGCACAGGGCTCTTTACTGCTTCACTAAGCAAAAGCTGTTTTTTTTTAAAAAACAAACCTTCTGTGTCTAACTTTGAGCAGCTGCCAGCAATAAAACTGTTGGGGTTTTTTTGTTTTGGTTTGGTTTATCTTTGTTTTATCTTCGGTTTATATTCCACATAGAAACAAATTCTACAGTAAATGCTGAAAGGTTTCTCATGCTGCATGCCTACCTTGATTTCAGATGTGGCTTACATTTATAAATGCCTAACTCTGTAGCCATACATGTTGCATCATATATATTCTTGCTTTGCTATTCAGGTTAACAAGGGTTTGGATTTTGTGTTCCCTACTGTAAGATTCTTAAAAGAAATGACTGCCACTACGTCAGCATGGGTCCTGATTTGTTTGAGTCTCAGGACTATTTTTTAAGTACCTTTCAGAATGCTAGCTAAACTGCTTTAAGGAGATGGATATCTCCTTTTTAGGTTTATCCCAAATCCTAATCCATGTTTATTCTACAGATGTTCAGAAGGGATCGTTTATTTATTTAAATGGTAAGCTGTAGGGAAAATGCAATAATACTTTAAATGTGTAATCTCCTTTTTATGCCAGCATTTTCTTACACTCTAAAGCACAGGCATAATTTGGGATTTTTGAATTTGAGGGATGCTAATGGCAATGTAAATAGCAGGATCTGCCCTTCTGGGCCAAATGTTTGTCACTAGATTAATGAAAAACAGTAGCTGACTTCTAGAATTTTACTGTTGTATAAAAGAAGAAATGTTGACAAATATTTTTTTTCAATTGTAATGTTTTAGAATTAGATACAGATTTTTAATTTTACTCACGGTATTGTTACTACTTTTGGGCCTATAATTTTGGGGGAATCTTCCTTAATTCCTTTTTGTACAGGGGGACAATGCAAGGTTCCCATCCTGTTTGGATGCAGCCACTATTATTTATGTAAAAGAATCCCACAAGCAGTGGAGCCCCCCAATTAACATATTTTTTCTATGATTTTCTGTCTAAGAGATAAAATTATCTGAAATTCAGACTCCTGTTCCTTTGAGATAAATGTGCTGCTTCTATCAATCACTACTACAATTAACTGAATTAAAATATAAATAGGATCTTGAGTTGACCTCAACTCTTGGTGAGTGCATCCATTCAGTTTTCTTGGCAGCATTATGGTTTTCCATTGCCTTCTTCTAGATCTTGTTTTTGTTTTATTCTCCAATCTAGTCAGCAGTTCTAAAATTCCCAGGTGGATTTCCCATCTAAGCATTAACATCTACCTAAGATAAATGCTTAGGGAAAATCTGTCTCAAACATAATTGATACATACCAACTTTTAGAGGTTTAAAAACATTTTTTTTTGAGGCTAAGCTGTGAAAAAGGAAGAAATACTTGTTTAGATTGAGGGAAGCAGAAGCTTGTTGTGTCAACTTAATTTACCAGATTCTTGCTTCCCCATTATTGATTTCCTTAGGAAAAGTCTTGCTTCCAGCTGGCACGTTGAGTTATTTATTCTAATTGTTATGCAAAAGGGATAATTCTTGTTTCTGTGCTTCTTCTCTAATGAAAGAAAACCTTATTATGCAGGCTATTTCTATTCAATGGGGTGGTGGAAACAGAGTATGAGCTATGATTTGTATAATCTGTTTATGCTAATCTGTTTTCCTGTCCATAGGCTCCCGGTGTAATATGCTTCTCAATAAACAATAATGGGTTTTTTTTCACTAATGTGAATCCTTCCCCCCCCCCCATTTTTTTAACATTTAGAGTCACAAGCAACCTGCTGCCTTTATAGTTACTCAGCATCCATTGCCCAACACTGGAGCTGATTTCTGGAGGCTAGTGTTTGATTACAACTGTTCTTCTGTTGTGATGCTGAATGAAATGGATGCTGCTCAGGTAGGTGGATTGTTTAAGAAATAAGTATGTATGGATCAAGAATTTTTAGTTACTATTGGGTCCACGTTAAATACATGTGTCAGGCTTCTAAGTAATAGATCCATTGCAAGCAAAGACTCCTCAAAGAATAGCTTTATTGGAAATATCATATTGGCATATATCTGGTGAAAACTGACTCTGAAGGGTCCCTCGGTTTTCACTTAATTAAAAGTGAAAGTTTTCCCCCTAATCGCAAACAATCAGTCACATAGCCCAATCAAGGCAGCATCTGTTGCTGTGGTGACATCACTCCTCCTTCCTCCAGCCAGGTGTGAGAATGTCCTTGGTTCCCAAGAGAAAGTATTTTGTTTTGACTGTACAATCACATCTATCTCTAATCCCCCCTCCCTATCCTTCAGCTTTAGTGTGGCAGCACTGAAGCTACAAGATGGCTTCAGCCAGGCCAGGTTCAGGGTTGACAACATGGATAAATGCATTAATCTGATTCCCTTAATGAATAGTTTGGCCAGCTCTGATAATAATTTCCATCATTGAACAAGAATTTAGGCTAGAGAAATATAAAGGTGAACAATAATTTGCAAAACTGGGACTAGGGATCAAGAGAAAGATTTCCTCTGTATTTTTCATTAATATTTTATGCTGTATACAGAGCATGTTCAAGGTTTCTATTCATAGAAATGAACATTCTAAGATTTTGTGTGAAAACTGGTGTTTTGCATTTCTCCTTTTTTTCCTTCTGATTTGTGTTTGTTTTCTTTTTGTTACGATCAGCTTTGTATGCAGTACTGGCCAGAGAAGACATCTTGCTGTTATGGGCCAATCCAAGTGGAATTTGTTTCTGCTGACATAGATGAGGATATTATTAATCGGATATTTCGGATCTGCAACATGGCAAGGGTAAATAGAAGTCAAATAATGTTGTATCAATATTCATTCCACTTTTTATAGTTATCTTTTTTGTCTTTCAATTTGTCAGAGTGTTCTTTATGCAGCCATGCTGGTTTCTTTTGGGAGCTGTTATTTTTCTTCTTCATTGGTATTGTGCTAGACTGGGCTTTTGTAATCTCATTTTTCAAAATTTCCCAAGCTTCTTGAGTTGTTTTCCCCTTGAGGATTCTCATCCATGGAATTCTTCCCAAGCTCTCTCTAAGTTTATTGAAATTAGCTCTCTTAAAGTCCAAGACTCTAGTTTGACT